TTTAGTACTCACATTTTCTTCAAATAATTTCTTACGGCATGATCTTTCATCATACAATTTAGCATAATTGTGATCTAACAAAAATCTCCTACCCCCCCTTATGGTTTTCTTTTTAAAAGGGAAAATAGTTGGAATGGTTCCTTTTTTCAGGTCACATCTTATTCTACATCCAATGTCCTGAAGGTACATTGGTTTTAAACAAAGAATAAATTTAAGATATTATTGTTAACTCTATATAAATAAATTAACCATATAATTAGATACATACATCAGCAATATCCCGTGGACCTAAATAATTGGTAACTATATCTTCTGGTAAAAAATGGTCAGCACATACAAATTTTACCAATGTTTCTTTACAGTTTGCATTGCTTATAGCTTCTTTCCACTCAGAATATAATGCTCTTGGTGGAGCAAATAATGAAATTTTTGGTTTGCGTTTTATACTAGCACATTCTTCAACAGAACACTTCTTAACTTTCATTTTGAATTTCAAAATTTTAAATAACGAGACAAACAAGTAGTAAAATTAGTCTTATCTAACTTACAAGCGTGTTAATTTACAACTTTATGGGTTATTATAATTTGTTTTCGATTTATTTATTAAATGGAAATCATCCAAAATTAGATATGTAGGTATTTTAAATTATAGCAGATTAATAGCTTAAAATTAAACCACTATGCGCGCTAGTAACAGCTAAGGCCCCATAACACGTGATAACACCAGACATTTGTGATTCGTACTCTCTACCCTCTTCACCATGTAGATGCCAGTCCATTATATCTTAGTCCGTGGTATAGACAGACCCATCAAGGGAATGTTATCATTGTTGTCTTATTCTGCGTGTTATCATGCAGAAAACACGTTATCACAGAATAAAACAATGAACGTGATTTGATTATAGCGGTGACAACAATTTGTCCTCCAAAAAGATGGCGGCCGAGTGTCCATTGGCTGGTACTATTTTAAGAACATTTTTGAATAATAATAATTTATTATGAACGTCATTTATATTTTGATATAGAACTGATAAGAGCAACCAAGAACATATAAATGGCAGATTGTAAGATATACATTATAGTAGTATACACAATAATCAGTCTTTCGATATTCGACAACCGTCGCGCGTCGATCTTATAATATAATATTGGCCATATGATCGACTATAATTTGATTGTTTATTGCGTAACATAATAATGAATTTATAATTTTATTTTTTTCAAATTTAATTTTTAATTTTTAATTTGTTGTTAAACAAATTTATACAATATCTATTATGGTTTTAGAGTATGTTAAAAGTTCTAAAGGAAAAGATTTGTTAGTGTTTGTAGGATATGTATTTTAAAAAGATTATACAAAAAATGGTAAGACGTATTGGAAATGTTTAAAACATAATACCGATAAGTGTCTTGGACGAGCACACAATAAAGATGATGCAGTTGTACACCACAAAGATGAACACAATCACATACCAAATGCAGCAGAAAATTGCTAAGAAACTTATACAAAAAGTAAAAGAAACGGCAACTAGTCAAATTGAAGCTACACCGCATCAAGTAATTTCTCAAATTCCATCTTCATATCAAGCATTAGGTGCTACTTTACCTTCAGTGCCAGCTATGAAAAAAATTGTGCAAAGAATCAGACGTCGAGTAAATGCTCCCCCATCAAATCCTTCAAGTTTAGCAGAATTGATTCTTATTGAGCCATATACGCGTACACTAAGTAATGATCCGTTCATTCTTTATGACAGCGGTGTTGGTAATGATAATAGGATTTTATTATTTTCCACGGACGAAAATTTGAAAATATTATCATCCGAACAATGTCACTAGTTTATTGATGGTACATTTAAATCATCCCCGAACCTGTTTACTCAGCTTCTTACCATATATGCTACAAAATGGATCTAGGACATTTTGGCGTGGCCGTTTTGACGTGGCCGTTTTGGCATGAAGCCATTTTGACGAGAAGCTGTTTTGGCGTAAATGTCTCAGGTTATTTATAGTATAAAATAAAAATAAATAAAATAAAATTATTTGTTATCATTTATTCGATTTAAAAAAATTCAGTTGATTAAAAAANCGTGTATCTGCTTCTTGAACTATTTTTAATAGACGTTTGTCTGTGTCAATGTATTTTTTGAGCTTTTTAGAGGGACTCCTTCCTGATTCCAATTGAAATAAATATGTATCTCTTCCAGCTTGAATCTTTTTTAAGCACGTTATAAATGACCATATTGTAGGATGAACCGTTCCCATTTCAACATTTATTCTACGGTTGGCAGCCTCTGCATGATTATTTGTTCTGTGTTTACCATTTAAAACTCGTTCGTATAAATTCCAAATTGATGGTGGAAATCTAGCAGGTCTCCGTCCACGTCCATTTCGATTTAATCTTCCGATATAATTATCTTCAAACCATTCAAGCAAGGGCTGAAGTTCTTCTGGTAAATATGCATCTAATGCGTCGATTGCCATGTCAATATTGTTGATGCAAACAAATGCAATTGAAATTATCATTTTAACATGAATAGAAAAATCTGCATCGTTATTATATTTTGATATAAGATGCAATTCGCCAATTTTTTTTTTGAAATTTTTTGTGAGATGAAAAAAACAACCATAAATAATAATATTTGGGAAATGTTTTTTCACTGCATTTATAACAGCTAATTCAAAGTCTAATGAAATTGATGTAGGATTTAACCCAGGACATAGATTTATTAACATTTGAAAAAGTTTTTCATACGTTTTTGTATATTTATCAGGCAGTAATGCATATAGAATAGGGTGTACACCATTTAAATATTCAGCAAGTATGACATACACTTGAGTAAAAAGTGGGGGTGAAATTTTAAAAGTCCCATCTCCAAACCATGTCTTAGAGTTTCGTAGAATATCCAAATATCGACGTCTTCCAAAAATTAAAATTCTTTCTGCCCCAGGTCCACTATCAGCTAATAAAAATTGTTCTTCATGCCCTTCAGAAGGTGAATACATTTTATACACTTCAGGTATTTCTAAAGTTATAAGATCCTTCGGTGCTTCAGGTACAGCTTGTATATTGTTTCGTTTTCTTCGAACTTGTTTTTTTAATGCATAATTAGATTGAATTGCTCCCTAAAAAAATTATAAAATAATAATTAATAGGGACCATAATTTAATCTATAATAATATTATGATGTTAAAGGCGAAATAAAGCGAAATAAAGTAAAAATAATATTAATATTACGACTTATTTAATTAATAATTTAAAGTTACAACCTGATCTACCGTATTCGATAATATAATCAATATTAATATTGATATTTATAATATATATTATATTAGTAGTATATATATATACGGGATGTCTCAAGAAGATCTGACAAATGAAATAACTTTTGTTCTAATCAATATTTAAAAAAAAAATAATGTTTCTTACATAAACTAGATTGTAGTTTACCTAATGAGAATATTGATATTTAAAAGATTGTAGAAAAATCAGCCACTGGACTTAAAAAAATGTTTTTACCATCTAAATTTTTTTTTTAATTAGATTCACAAATTGGCTATTTTCGAATATTTTGGAAATTTTTTTATCAATTTTTTAGTTTTTTATTTTCAGTATTGCAAAAAATTATATTTAATTTTTTTTTTAAAAATATTGATTAGAACAAAAGTTATTTCATTTGTCAGATCTTCGTGAGAAACCCTGTATATATTGTAGGTAGTATATTAAATTACACCTACTTTAGCTGCTTCTGATAATCCGGCCAGACATTCATTTATGACATTTGATGTGGATTCCGTGGTTTCAGCTGCACGTCGTTTTATACGGTTAACTGCTATATTTCCTTCGATTTTTGGTGCTTCAGAATCATGAGTATGTTCATTTATTGATTTTATTATTTCAATATCGTCTACTGTTGTGTGTACCCGAGCTTTGCATTCATTTTTGTTTCGGCAACGCCAAAAATGACGTTCTCCATCACTACTTAATGCATCAAATAAATACATATAACCATTGTTCACTAAAACATCTCGTTCTTTCGTGGATTCAATTAATTTTGACATTATAAATAAATATTAATTAATTTAATAATTTAATAAAACTCACTACTTGTATAAAAGATTTAAATGTATATTAAAAGTAAAAACTCACTATTTGTGTGAAATATTTATGCTGTATCTAGCTAAGAATATTAAAGGACAACAAATAATAAACTTATCGCACGACAGACAAGAAACGACAACGGGTACAAATCATTCAAAACGTAGATAATCGATCTAATCGATAGTATACGTTTTGACTGGTCAACTGGTTAATTTTAACTTTAGTTAAAAACCCACTTACAACTTATCATTTAATTCCAACAATACGTATACAATAAATACTATCAAAAAATAAAAATATACTTATACAATGGTAAATTAGTTAATATGAGACCTGAGACATTTACGCCAAAACGGCTTTACGTCAAAATAGCTACATGCCCAAACGGCCACATCAAAACGGCCACGCCAAAATGTCCCATTCCGCTACAAAATTCAACACAGTTTTGCCGTTGGTGTTTGCGCTTCTTCCAAATAAAACAAAAGATAGTTATGATCGAGTAGCAAGAGAACTTTTAAATTAAAATGAAAACCTACAACCAGCAACTATTATGATCGATTTTGAACAAGCATTATTTGGTGCATATATTGATGTTTTTACAAACACTAAAAGTAGAGGCTGTTTTTTGCACTTTGGGCAGTGTTTATGGCGAAAAATACAGACTATTTCTGATATTTGTGAAAAATATATTTCAGATGCAGATTTTGCTTTAAACATAAAGCAATTAATGGCATTAGCTTTCATCCCAGTACCTGATGTCGTAGATACATTTGACGAATTAATGTCACAAAGTTTTTTTGTAGACGAAGAGCTTTTGCGTCCACTAACTGATTACTTTGAAGATACGTGGATTGGTAGACCAACAAGACAAAGATTCCGTTGGCCACCTACATTTAGTCTAGATTTATGGAACCAATATGACGCGACACTTGAAGGATAACCTAAAACAAATAACTCAGTCGAAGGTTGGCATAAAGTTATAGTTCATTAGTTTTAACTTTAAGGTAACAAAAAAAAGAAAGTGTAAACCGCCAATGCATTACGCATTAAGTATGAGTTGCCAGTCCCAAGCCTGGAAATAAGTGCGGGGTGCTTACATTACAGTAATTATATTTTAAATTTGAATTAGACGGGGAAATGTCCGACGGAAAAATTAGTCAGATGGGGAAATGTAAGACGGGGATGTGACCATAAACCCGTTTTAATATACTACACAATTTTGTTATTAGATTTATTATATTAATTAAAAGTAAAATGTTACTTTTGATAATTAGAACTTAAAATATGCATTATACATTATATAGCAGTTTAATTTTTAAAACAATAGATTGAATATTTAATATCTAGTAAAAGAAAACCTTAAATCAACCTACCTGAAAAATGCAGTTTTTGGCGTTAACACGTTTTGCAGTACCACCCTTCAAATATCCTGTTATGTTCAGAAAGCTCATAAGGACTGTAAACAATACATGCACTATTAATGCAAAAAAGGTAAAATATTATAAATACTATTGTAACGCGCACATGTATAGTAGCCATTAAGAGGCGTAAACTTTTTAGAATTATCATCAGAATCCAATTGACAATGGTCTCACGAACTACGTAAAAAGGGATTCAGCGAGACTTAAACAAAGAAGCTCTAAAAAAGACTAAAGCGTTTTCCTTCAGGTCGGACGCTGTTGACATGGCAACCCACTCAGTTGAATTGTGGTAATTTGCAAGGCATTAAATCAGAAGGCGTCGTCAGAAAAATCATATCAGAGGCCATAAGTGCCGATGATTGTGATAAAGATGATTTTCATGACCTTGTATTGATGTGTAATGACAATCAAAACAATTTTGTAAAGCATGTCGGCATACCGTCTGTTCAATCAAGAGGCTCCTACAACAATTGGTGGTCGGCCCCATTGACTACACCAACGAAATTCAACAATATAAGGGGTTACCAGGACTAATAGAATACTTGGATTGTCAGGCTATGACCCAATCAACTATACGCTAAAATATATTGTGCACGTATGGCAAGGCACATATAATAATTTATTGTTTAAGTAAAATTAATGACAAGTAAATAAAAATAATATAAGAAATGATTATAGTGAATTGGTACTGACGTCTCAGTAGCAATCCATAAGAAAAATACAAAATATGAATATTAACACAAAATAAGCAATAAGTAAATAATAAACAATACTATCAGCACGTCTGGCAATAATGATAGGTAATCAACAATAGATTATGATAAATAATACAAAATACAATAATATTTACGCGTGTCTCCAACGACCGTTGGTGACGATTTGACTGTTACCACCTCCGATTCGAGATTAAGTACGATGACAATAATATATCCACCGATGTCTATGGCCAAACGTATCACCCGTCACTGGGTGCTGCGACTATGCAGGTGCGGGTTAGGTTTGATCAGATCCGAACGCACGCTTACTACAGGCGATTCACAATTGCCCGCAAAACCAAACAGCGGCCGTTACGCAATAATACCATGGATCGCTCGGACAACACGTTTATTTATGTCGGGCGACCGGGCACTGTCTCAAGACACAATAATAGAACCGACGAATCGGCAAAACACAACATATGGCGGCACAGCGACTAATTAAATGTCACGTTGTTTAGACGATATGACGACGCGCGTTGCGGACACGAAAGCCCAAATCGCTGTCACTAGCATAAGGCAACGAGGTCGGCTGGAACAATCACACAACGACGGGCCGTGAGTCGCCGGAGATAACTGAGTAACTAACTAGGTCAGGCGATTACGGGATCTACGGCGGACGTGCGTTATCGGCGATAGCATACTAGATGGGGGACGGCACGACCTGTTCATAGACGTATCGGCTGGACATCGACTGCGGCGCTCGAACACTGTCCGTTCACTGTTAAAGTAACGAGCAGTTGGACATACTAAAAAATCTGATTAAAGAACACCAACCAGTAACTGGGTATTTGGATGCAACTGATACAGTGGTCAGGAAAATTGACAAGAACAGCAAAAGGGTTTAGTTGTTAATGTCCCATTACCTAGAAACTCAAGCGTCACGTGTTCCGTTGTTGAAATGATTAGTTCAGCCCACGACATTGTTGCGATTTCATAATGGCTGAAAGCTTTTAAAGCATTCGTTTGAAACACAAACTGACTTGGCCAGTATTCACAAATATTGAAATATAGTGACAGATTTCAGTTATGCAAAAATGAATGCCTTGTGTAAAGTGTTGCGGGCCTTGGCATCTCCGCATATAAAATATAATATTATGACAATGTAATATAGAATAGATTAACCTATTACGGCCTTAAACTCCGTGTATATAATTAACATTAATATTATAACAAGGTAGTGTAGAACATGTACTATCTGCCCTATCTATGTAATAAATAACTGGACAGGTGCACGATTAGAAATCATAGACACGAGTCGCTATTCTAAGAATCGGCAACAACAACCGAAAACACACACACACACACAAGCTGCACGTGCCGCTACAATCAAAGGAGCCGCCACCACTTATAAGGGAGCCCGTGGGACAGCCTGGGCAGATGTATCATAGCCACGGAGACCTGAGCAACTTCTCGTCACACGCGCACACGCTATTGTACTATTACTATATTTTCTGCTGAATAAACATAATTCTATAGTTCAATTTGGTACTTTTTGATTTGTCTCTAAAGCTTACGGCTTTTGGAGCCTTTGAGATTACGCACACAACATTTCTGGCGCAGTCGGTTTAGGATTTTCAAGGAGGCAAAACCATCAAAGGTCCATCGTTGACAAGAGGAATTGATCACTCTTCTTCATCAGCAACTCCGAAGGAAGGTTCCAAGCAAAACAAGTACAGCGATTTCAAAAGGATCATGGCATCATCAGCAAATACCGCTTTATTGTAAGTGAATAATTTATTAAATATTGTTACATAGACGTATGTACAATAGAGGCGTATGGAATTTATTTAAGGTAATCAAGTATAATAGTAGTGTAGGTGTTAGAGTAGAACATATATAAAAGCCCATTCAGTCAATTATTAAAACCCATTGAAGTTATTACATTGAAGATTATTATTGAGATTATTATTATTGAATTATTGAAGTTATTGAAGATTATTATTGAAGTTATTATATTATATATTCTAGAAGAGGGTGAAATAACGACAAGATGGAAGGAGTACATAGAGGATCTGTATGAAGGATTGATAGGTGAAGACAGCATGAATATTGAAAATATAACTGAATCAAACAAAGACGACGTAGGGCCAATTATAACAAAAGACGAATTCGTTAAGGCTCTAAGGGAATTAAAACAAGGAAAAGCGGCAGGAGTAGATAACAACCCAGCAGAAATATTAAAAAATGTTGGAAAGGATACCGAACATAAGCTATATGAAATGACTGAGAAAATGAATAGGGATGGCAACATTCCGAAGGACTTTGCCAAAAGCAAAACTGTACTAATCCCAAAAAAAGGAAATTCCACAGAATGCAAAAATTACAGAACAATAAGTTTATTAACACACGCGTCAAAGATACTTCTTAACATAATAAAAAATAGAACCAAAAGAAGATCGAAAAAGAGCTCGATAAAGATCAATTTGGGTTTAGACAGGGAATTGGTACAAGAGAAGCAATTTTAGCTTTAAGGGTACTTATGGAAAGAAGGCTAAATGTAATCAGAAATACATTTATAACTTTCATTGACTTAGAAAAAGCCTTTGACACTGTCAACTGGGCACTATTGATGAACTCTATGAAGAAAACACGAATAGACTGGAGGGATAGACGAATAATAATGTTACTATACAAGGAACAGGAGACCTTAATAGAGGTAGGAGGACATAGTACTACAGCAAAAATTAAAAGAGGGGTAAGACAAGGCTGTTCCTTATCTAACTACTTATTTAATATATTCGTGGAAGAAATCATGGACAAGTATAAAAGAAACTCTAATGGAATAAGCATAAATGGAGAAAAGATCCACTGCATACGATTTGCTGACGATATTGCTTTAGTATCTGAATCAGAAAAAGACATGCAAAAATCTTTAACCACTCTGACAAAAATATTACAGGAATACCAAATGAAAATTAATGCGAAAAAAACAAAAACAATGGTGGTGACTAAAGCAAAAGAAATCCCAGTAGAGAAGTTGGAAGTGAATAATAATTTAGTAGAACAAGTCCAACAATTTAAGTATCTAGGAAGTACGATTACAAACGATAGTAAATGCTCAATAGAAATCAGACAAAGAATAGCTATGGCAAAGAGAGCATTTACACAAAAACGGCAGTTACTTACAAACAAAAAACTAAATATAAATATGAGAAAAAACTTTATCAAATGTTATGTGTGGAGTGTATTATTGTACGGCTGCGAAACATGGACTATCAATGGACAAGATAAAAAGAAGTTAGAAGCCATAGAAATGTGGATATGGAGAAGACTGTTAAAAATCAGCTGGACAGAAAAGAAAAGTAACGTAGATGTATTAAACCAAATAGGAGAAAAAAGAATCTTATTAAACACCATAAAAGAAAGAAGTGGAAAAATGTTCGGTCATCTACTTAGACATAATTTGTTTATGACAAACATATTTGAGGGACGAATAAATGGTTATAAAGGAAGAGGCAGACCGAGGTAAGCATACATAGAAGAAATGGTAAAACAAGCTGGTTGTAGTCGATACATAGAAATGAAAAGATTGGCTTCTAATAGAGAAGAATGGAAAGCCAGATTTGCAACGACAAGGTAAGGCCTTTAGTAAAGAAGAGAAGATTATATTGAGGATTTTTATTGAAGTTATTATATTGATGATTATTATTGAAACTATTGAGATTATTATTGAAGTCATTGAGATTATTATTGAAACTATTGAGTTTATTATTGAAGACTATTGAGGTTATTATTATTGAAGAATATTATTGTCATTATTATTGAGATTTAACTATTGAGAGTTATTGTTATTATGAGGTTTATTATTGAGAATTATTATTGAATATTATTAAAGGGTATATATATATTGAGAATTATTAA